ATCATCCTCGTCATCATCGTCATCATCGTCATCAGATATTGTAGTATCAACCCTGCGCCTTTTATTTCTATCCTTGGGTTTGACTTCTTTGAATAGAGCAAATTTAATGATCGCTTCAGCAGCTTCAGCGTCATCTTTTCTTACCGTCTTTGCAAGACGTGCTTTAGCATGTGCGGTAGCAAGACGAAAAAGTGAATCTAAAGCACGCGGCGTCATTGGTGATGTCTTAAAACATGCCATTGGTATAGAAATTATTAAAATGAATAAAAGTATATAAGAAGTTATAATAAATAATTTTAATTACTTTTGATTCTCCACGATTAGTTTCAGCATTACGAAGCTCAACCCATGAGTTACAAATATAATCCGCAGCCTCTCTGGTCAATCTAGGTGTTGCACAATTTTTAGCATATTGAATATATTTCTGGAGAAATTCTGAAGAAAGAATTTCTGACTCCTCTGAATCAGATATGTCTATTTGATTACTGTCAGTATTTGATTGTGGATCGTCATGCTGATAAATTGATGTCGGTGTTACTGTCCTATCGGCTTGTTCCATGGAAATGGTTTGTCCGGAACCATCCTTAATCGGTACGCCTATAATATTAAAAATATAAGTACGTGTCATGCTTTCGCAATATCAAGAAACATAACACCGTGCAAACCTTCTTCGAGATTTCGTGGGCGATATTGATGTAAGCGTAAAACATGTTGTGAAATTTTACGATCTCGAATATCATTTATTTCATCTGTAACAACAAAAACCAGATCGAAACGAGATAACAACGAATCCGGAAGAGCGATATTATGTGCAGGATCTTTATGAACATCATACTACGATTAAAAAAAAATGAGTTTAAGATTGTTGCGACAATATAGGAAATAATAAACCTAAAACAATTCAATTCATTCAAATCACCTGTCCATAAACAGGATTAGCCGCAGCTATTACACTACACCGGGCATTTAGGGATGTATGGATGCCAGCTTTGGAGATGGTTACAGTTTGTTGTTCCATTACTTCATGAATTGCAACACGATCAGTGTCATTCATTTTGTCAAATTCATCAATGCACACGACACCGCGGTCACCAAGAACCATCGCACCGGCGTCAAGACATCTTTCACCTGCACACAAAAAGATATATAGACGCGAAATTAATGGAATGAGTACGAATTGGTAAATAATTATAAATAATTATAAATATTCATTACCGGTTTCTTTATCCCGCGAAACTGCAGCTGTCAAACCGACACCTGATGACCCACGACCTGTAGTCGCAATGGCTAGAGGTGCAATATTAAGTACACGTCGAAGAAGCTGAGATTTTGCC